ATGACTGTAAACACAGAGGAACTCAGATGTTTGGTAGAACATAGATCTTTGTTTATTTCATAGCTGACGTGAAGAAACGAGTCTCTGYGCCTCAGTGGAGAGTTTTCATGACGTCAMATGATGCTGGAGAGTTAGAATCATATGGATGAAGCTGTTCCGTTGGTTATGATTCGACTTTGGGTGGACTGGACTGGCACAGTCCTGATCGGTCTGCCAGCTCCCTCTGGAAAGCTCCTGTGGAACACCAGTTTGATCGCTGCTGCTGCACACGTGGCCCACGGCTCCTCGCTGTGTCGCGCTCCCAGAGCGCAGCAGTGCCAAACGAAAAATGATTTTTCCTCAAAACGGCTGATGAGGCACTCGTCATCGTGGATCAGAAAATTCTATCTGCTTGCACTGTGCACTGTGTTACACTATTTATTATATCCTCCAGTAAGGCTGAATCTGTACATGGTAAATGTACTTTTGGCACAACTTTCCTTTATCTAACTGCGTCCATGTGGATGTAATAATTGTTAATCGTGTGTGTCTGTTGTGAACAATAATCATTTCCACATCATGAAGTTTCTCAGAATCACCTCTAAGTGTCGGCAATGGAACCAGAACCACAGAAACGTGTGTACGCCAGCCCTGGAGTTGGTGTGGGGCTGCGCACATTTCCACGTTCATTTCAGCTTTGATACATCTAGAGTTTTGTGTAGAAAATGGTGTACGCAAAGTTTTGTGCATACGCACCATTGATACATGAGGCCCCTGGTGTTTTATTTTACTGGAGTTACTTAATAATAGTTTATTTTTATAGAAACAAAGAGTGTTTGTAGTAATATCAATAAATTCAGGGTGGGGAACACATCAGAACTTTCTGAGACATTTAAGTTGATTTTCATGTTGTCAGCCTGACTTCAGCCCGTTAACGGTGGAGGACTGATACTGACATAAGCAGAATTATATAAATGSACCAATAAATAAATACACTAATTACATTAGATGAGGCAGAAATGRTAAATGGACTGTACTTATATAGCACTTTTCTCTCCAACAGGACACTCAAAGCTCTTCACACTACAATCTGTGTCCTCATTTACCCATTCACACAGCACTCT